AAAAAAAAAAGATTGTCATTGATTGAGTGAACGATTTCATGGTATCTGTGTATAGTAGTGCTGTAGTTTGCAAGCAAGCGAAAATAACACACATGTAAATAAAACAACAATATAGTAATAAACAAAAAGCAAAAATTTGCGGTTTTGAGTAGGAATAATTCTATGAATAAAAAAATGATTTGTCAATTAATTTCTTCTGCGAAGCGCAACTTAGTGATTGAAAAAGGTCTCAGAAAACAGTGATCTATAGTTTGTTAAGTAATATAATAGCAAAATGTGAGAGTGAATCGAACAATGGATAAAAAAAGTAGAGTTATTGAGTTAAATGGTGATGAGAAATCAGTCTTTCTATTCATATGACAAAAGTGCAAAATATAAGAAAAATCACTTTTAATTTATGTTCGATTATCCTCTTTTCTCTTAAGAAAAGAAGACATTTAACGGAAAAATGTGATGTAGATTAAACACAAACAGCATGCGATCAGTCATCAAACTAAAAGAAAGTGGCCCCTTCGATTGTGATTATATATTTTTTTGCTTCGAATTGTTTCTGATTTTGAATTATTTTTATTCCGATCTTTAGGTATCTGGAGTTGGCTAAACCTGGTTTAGATGTTCATTTTCCTATGTAATTAATTAATTATAATTTAGTATTTTTTTTACTATGTCATCATCATCTCTTCTATTCTATCGTACACAACGACTACCATTATTCCTTATTATTCGTTCAAATTCAACAGCTTCCACCACATCTCGTGTACAATCCACAACAAAATGGAAACGTTTAACTTATCAAATTGGAGGCAGTTTAGTGGCAGTGGGTAAGTTGAAACAATTTTTGTTAACGGTAATCAAACAGTTCCCAACAGCCAGTTCCAATGACTGTAAAGATTCTAGTAATTTATGATGAGCCCGAAATAACCTGAAATTAACTTTATTCAATGCAGAAATGTTTTCTCTATCAAACTAGTCTGATAGTTTGATTTCTATTAATCGTCGGAATTTCTTAAATGAATAGAAAAAGCCCGGAGCTGGTTGATAAAACGTATCGGCTCCGTGTACGTTGATAAAATGGTTGATAAATCAAACCATCAGACTAGTTTGTAGCGATGATTCTTTACTTATTACTCAAGTAACAAATCTTTGTTACTTTACTGTTTAAAGTAAATGAATAATGAATCACCCCTACTGATGACAAAGAAGTATCTGGAAATATTTGTTAGCTATTGCATCACATTAAGGAAAGAGTCATAAATTAAAAGACATCTAATACAATTCAAAAGTTTTTCTAAAATTTCAAAAACACCTGTTTTCCAGAAAAAAAAATTGTCCTTTGTTACTAGCAACAAATACCATTCGGCGTTACTTGTTACTAGTAACAGTAATGGTAAACAGTTAGCCCTACTAGTTTGATAGAGAAAACATTTCTACATCGAATGAAGTTAATTTTAGCTTGTTTCTGACTCAATATAAATCACTATGACCTTTACAGTCATCAGAGTCGACTGCTGGATCTGACGATATTTAACAGTTTTACAAAAATTTGATAAATCTTATCAAATCAACTATTATTTTATTCTATCTGGATAAAAAGTCCAACTAATATTTTGTTTAATTTTTTCAGACTTTAATATGATCAACATCGTTTTCGTACTACTGTCTATATTGTAGGCACATTGGGTTATTGTTGGGCTCGTTCACAAGCTCTTTTAGCCTCATCTGACAAAGCACATCCTGCACAAATACCGTGGACATTTAATGGTCCATTTTCATCGTTAGATCATGCGGCAATTCGTCGTGGTTTTGAAGTTTATAAACAAGTGTGTGCCGCGTGTCATTCAATGAAATTTCTTCAATATCGACATTTGGTCGGTGTCTGTTATACGGAAGATGATGCTAAGAAAGAAGCAGCCGATAATCTTATCGAAGATGGACCAGATGATGACGGACTAATGTTTACACGACCCGGAAAATTGACTGATCATGTACCACCACCTTACAAGAATGATAAAGCAGCGAAAGCAGCTAATAATGGTGCATTACCACCAGATCTATCGTTAATTTCTTTAGGTTTGTCTTATTATCAGTGTAAAATCGACATAATCATGTTATGTCTCATTTGTTCTAGGTCGTGGCGATGGTCCAAATTACATTTTTAGTTTATTAACCGGATATCAAGATCCACCAGCCGGCGTTAAAGGAGAAGAAAATTTACATTATAATCCTTACTTTGGTGGTGGATGGATAGCTATGGCAAAACAACTTTACGATGATCAGATTGAATATACAGACGGAACAAAGGCTACCGAAACACAATTGGCAGCCGATGTTGTCTCATTTTTAAAATGGTCGGCTGAGAGAGAACATGATGATAGGAAAAAGATGGCCGTTAAAGGTATGAATTACATTGTTTAAAGACATTGAACACTATTTGTTCGTCTAGTTCTCTGTATAAAAAGTCTTGACAAAAATTGGTATCAGGGGCCAGTTTCTTAACAAAAACTTAAGTGAAGAATTTGAGATGATGAAAAATGAAAATTCGAAAGATTAACTAAGTGTGTTTTTCAAACATTACTTAACTTAAGTCATGCCTCTATCTCATTTATGTTTTCACTTAAACTTTTAAGTAGAAAATTGTTTAAATTTTATAACTTCTTTATTTGAACTCCGTAATCCATTCAACTCACCATAATTAGACTGAACATAATTTTTCAGAGATTTCGTTCAGAAAATTGCTGTAAAATAGTCTAAGTTATCTAAAAAACAAATGGTTTTTACGGCATGATCTCTGCCTGACTTAAGTTTTTTTTTAGAAACTGGTCCCAGGACTAAGGCTCAAAAGTACTGTGTCAGAATTAGAATTTCATTCTCTTTCAGAATATGAATTTGAAATGTATTTTGTTACTTTTCTGTCGTTCACAAAATGTGATACAATATTTTCCCATTCAGATGTTGAGTCTGTTCGTATTCTACCATTTGTGAACGATAGAAAAGTCAGTTCATTGTCAACTCCAGGAACTTATTTTGTCCTGATTCATTTTCTTCTTTATTTTATTAGTAGTTGTTTATTTCGCTTTTATTTACGAGAGTACACACAAAAAAAAGAGTCATTTTAACAATTTAACAAAAAAAAGGAAAAAAAAAATTGTCAGACTTGTAAAAATTTTTAACTGGAGTTGTAGAGTTAAAGTTGAAAAAATCTGAACTCAACTCAGCTCTAATCTATTAAAAAACGCCACTCGAACTCAAGCTCAACTCCTGGAGTTGGATTTGTCCATCTCTGTTTTGAGCTCTAATCCTGATACTATTTTTGGTACAAAAAACAGCAAGACTTTTTACACCAGAGATTATGTACTTTTTGACAATATTTCGAGATACAAAACAAAAATTGGATGGAACAGATGTTTTTTTAGAATATAAAAAGATAGATCTACTTTATGAGTAATAATATGGCGGTACGGTTAGATAACTCGGCTAAATTCCGTGACAACATTTTGACACTTTGCTGTGTTTTTATTCTTTTTAACGAAAGCACGTGCAGTGCACGTGAAACAACGTCTAGAATTGTAAAACAAATGTTTCTCTACAAAATGTAGGCGTCTCAAAGCTCTTACTTTATTTAAAAAATAATGAGTTTACCGTTTATTGTTTAAACAAAGTAACATATAGAGCTTTGAGACGCCTACATTTTGTAGAGAAACATTTGTTTTACAATTCTAGACGTTCTACATGTGAAAAACACAGGGCTCTGTTTTTCAGGACATTTGCGGCTATATCTCTAAGAAAACTCATTGGAAAATTCTGGAATACATCTCATTTTGAAGAGCACACTTTCTTCTATCATGCTATATATAAGAAAAAATTTTGAATATGTAGAAAAGGAGAGAAAAATTTACGAATCAAAAAAGTTGAGATTGTCTAGGCTTTGAACGTAAAACTTAAAAACTTCATAATTTTTTCAAGGAAGGTCATGTAGAGCTGGGAGTGGTCTCATTGTATACCTCATATTTTCCTCTACTTTACACTATGTTCAGCTCAAAATGACAGTTTTTCTGCAAAAAAGACGGAGAGGGGGGGGGGGCGGTACGCTTAACCATATTTGGATAGTTACGTCGTTATTGACATTGATATTTATGAATAAATAGATTCTTCTTACTATTTTAGGTATTTTAATATTTGCTCCATTATGTGTGTTAATGTATCATTGGAAACGTGTTAAATGGGCATCAATAAAATCTAGAAAAATTGCATTTTATAAACCACCATCCAAATATTCTGAATAACAATAAAACAACACCACTAAATAAAACATTAGACACAAACAAACAAACAAACAATCCGCTTTCTCCAAACATATCCTTGTCTATTTTGTTTTTTTTCTTTTTTTTATACACACCTACAGATTAGTCTAATTCTTGTTTTTATTCTTTTATTCTACTATTAATAGAAGTATATGATTGAGTTTTTGCTTGTTTTTTATTTTTCCGGAAATGAGAAAAAGAGAGTAGAGAAGAAAAAGAGAATTTTTTGAATATAAAATAATATCAGAAACCAAAACAAAAATAATCTATTTATTATTTTTTTAAAAATATGTAATTCATCTTAATTCTTGAAATAAGTCTTTGAAACTATTCAGAAATTCTACTGTATCAAATATGTAAACATCAATTCACAGTGAATGAAACAAAAACAACACAGATTTTATCCTTTCATTTAATCTACAGTAAAAATAGACAGATTTTTTTGTTTTTCATTGTCAATATCAATTTGTCCGTTTGATCGTGGTGACGGTGTCTTATTTTCTTGAAAGAAAAATATTCTTAAAGATCGGTTTACTCTCTGTCTTTTACATCATTCATTTTTAGATCTCAAATTGATATTTTTCTCCTTTTGTTGTTTATTTTTTCTATATTGCTGGTGTTTATTTTTTGTTTTTGTAAGTAATATGATCGTTGATTTTTATATTAAGTATGGAATTATTTATTTATTTGTTTTTTTTTGTTTTTGTTTGTTTTAGAAATGAGTTCATGGTTTTGGCCTCCTCCATTAGATCCTTCGTCTTGGAATAGTGATCATGATAATGGAGATCACGACAATAATGACGACTCTATATCATCCTCATACTCTATAAATAATTCAAATTTAATTGAAGGCATTAGTGATGACACATTATTATTATTTATATTAGTTTTATCAATTATTACTATCTGGTATTATTATACACGGTAAGCATAGTAAAATAATTCCTTTAATTTTACTGTAAAAAAAAACGTTCAGTTTATTTTCCAACTATTAAATAATGGGTGGTATAGAAAGAATAGCATAGTTTTTATTTTCAATTTTTCTCCTCTCTCGTTTGAACTCATAGAGTTCATCTTATTAGCGAAAGATTCCCCATTCATTTCATTATAAAATGGTGTATAGAAGATGCTCATTTGGTTTGAGACGCTGTCTTAATTGAACAAATATTGAAATGTTCGAAAAACTTGAAAAATTTAACAAAAAAGTGTATTTCGTCAGTATGAAGTTGAACGTATATGTTGTGTCTAGAATAAGTAGGCCAAAATGTAGCCCTTAAAATTCTCTATGGATTAGGTATAATGCACATTTTCTATCGTTATTTTTATGTGTTTTCAGTAATGATTTTTGCAAAAGCCTTATGACCGTTTTTTCAACTTTTTCAACCTGCATTTTAGGGCTATTTGTAAAATGAATATTGCTTAGATAAAACTAAACCAATCAGACTCATTCTTGCGTCGTTTTGAAGACAAATGTTTGGTCTACTCGACTCACGTGTAAAACGCTTGATGTAACTTTTCTGAATAATGGAGATGTTGAAACTAGCGCATTTTGTTCAGCAATGGCTGCCAGTTATTAACTAGTCATTTTTATCGCATCAGACCCATGGAAAGAAAATAAGTCTCTCGCTATCTGAAAGGGAACGTCTAAACGTCCTAAGAAATGATGTGCTAACTTATTCCGATCACTTTCAAAATGGAGTTCAAACTTCAGATTATCGTCGGAAAAAGTTTAAATTTTCTAAGTTTTTCGGACATTTCCATGTTTGTTCCATTAAAACAGCGTCTCAAACCATAGGATCATCTTCTATATATCATTTTGTAGTGAAACGAATGGGGAATCTTTCGCTAATAGGATGAGCACTGTAAGTTCAAAGAGATAGGAGAAAAACTGAAAATAAAAACTACGTCATTCTTTCTGTAACACCCGTTAGATCGTGTTTGATAATGAAACCCAGGCACACATCTATCGGATGTTTTATTGTTTTCTGTTCTTCTCCACATAGTCTCAGCTTTTTTTGGAATTTTTTTAAACTGAAAGATGCGCCGTGAAATTCTCAACAAAATCACATCTAAACTTTAATTTCAGAACCTTAATCAAGAAAACTAGATGCAAATTAAACGAAAGGAGAAAAAAAATGAAAACTTTGTAAATTTGATATTGCTTTTGACTTGAACTTTTTTTCGACTACTATTATTTCCGTAAAAAAGTGTGACGCGATTCTTTTTGTACTTTTGAATGGGCTCTTTCTCGTGGTTGGTAAAAGAACATTTTTAGAGCAGAGGGTGTACTAGAGAGCGAAGTTTCAAAAATATGTCAGAAATTAACAACCTCTCGCTTCCAAGAATGTGCCCAAGCAAGAAACGGAAGTTTGATTTTGCAGTTAGGTACAGAAGAATAATCATTTCAGATCAAAACAAACAAATCTGATAGAAAAATCTTTTGTTTTGATGGAGTTATGGAATTTTTACTGAAAGCACCACTTTACCTAAAATTTAAATTTTGGATTTTGATGTAAAAAAATGTGACGCGTAGCGAAAAGATAGAGCGAAGTGAGGGCTACATAATGGCTGATTCAAGTTTTCTTACTTTCAAAACGTTAACACAGAAATCATTTTTGAGTTTAGAAAGTTTTAATTTTCTTCTCCTTTCGCATAATTTGCGTAGGTTTCGTGATCCAAGTCATGAAATTAAAGTTTAGGTATGATTTTGTTGAGAATTTCACGGCGCATCTTTTATTCAAGTTGTTTCAATTATTAAAAAGTTCACTTTTCACACAATAAACATCGAAACGAGTTCAGGCCTTCAGAATATAGAGTATTTAAGCTATTCTATATCTTATTTATAGATCTTAAAAAAAGTTTACAGATTTTCCAAAAGGGTTTCTAAAAAACCCATTAACGCAAATATGCTTTTTCGATTTTTTCAACCTTATAATCACGTTTAGCGGAGAAAATCGACCATATCCTGTAGGTCTGAACTCGTTCCGATGTTTATTGTGTGAAAAGTGAACTTTTTAATAGTTGTTAATGGGTTTTTCATGGGTTTTTTAGTTCGTTAATGGGTTTTTCAGAAACCCTTTTGGAAATCTGTAAACTTTTTTTAAGATCTATAAATAAGATATAGAATAGCTTAAATACTCTATATTCTGAAGGCCTGAACTCGTTTCGATGTTTATTGTGTGAAAAGTG